GAAACGATGAAGGGTCAAAGTTAAAAATACCACTGCGCAATCATGACAAAAAAAACCACGGGCGACGGGCGACGGACGACGCACGACGGGCGACGGGCAACGCACGACGGGCGACGCACGACGGACGACGGGCGACGCACGACGGACGACGCACGACGGACGACGCACGACGGCAGATATGGAATTCCATATTAGGCCTACACAGCTCGCAATGCTAATGTAGCGGTCCGGCCCCTGGCTGATCACTCGGGGGCGGCGGTCCGTCCGCCACTGAAGGGGGAATTGGAAGCCAGGCAGACAAAAAGAAAGTTCAGGAGGCACTGAAAGACTAGGGTGTTCAAGCTGACTAAATTTCTTTTTATAATCACAACTGCTTGGACAATTAAACCGGTGCTAATCTACGTGATTCCCGGCCGAGCCATCACAGCGTCCATCCACACAGATGTCTCGCACAGCACACCCCTGCTCTCGCGAAAAAACCTTGGTAACCCGCCCAACTTCAGTGCCGCCAAATATTATCACATTGTAAGCCACTTCCGGCCGACAGGCAAGACTTACAGAAAATACTTGTACTGTACATGTACATTCTGTGCACCCACGCGGGCCTAACCACGCCTTCAAGACGTGCACAAGGTTCAAAGGTCACACAATTCGCTAAATGAGATGGGGAATTCCCAGATCCCTACACTAATTTACCTAGATGTTGAATTCTAGGCCGCCCCTGGTGTTGGAATGGTAGGTCCATCCTCCAGTGTTAAATGATGAGTTACCGAGTACATGCCCCCATGATTGAGTCGAACACCGGACATGCAGTCAAATATTTATTTTAATTGATGACTCATGCGTCTCATCTCAACACTCGAGAATTCTTTTACACATCAACGCAACCCCCAATGTGGTGGCTCAGACAGTAATGGCAATGAGTTCTGAAGTTAAGTTTGCCGGTGATGGTCTAACCACGTCAAGCCCAAAAAAAATTACCCGAGCTGGGCATTTCTCAGTTCACAAAAAAGGTACCGCACACCAGAAAGTTCTAAAACATTAAATGCTGCTATGTGCACACAAAGTCCCTGTACGTGTAGCAGTTTATGTAATGTTAACGCCCACGACTCTGTGTGTGACCCGCGTTCGACCCCAAGCCACAGCAAATGACCTCGGTGTAGTGGTGTTGTGTCCTTATAGCGCCTTCCTGAGACTTGGGTGGATAAGTCTCCGCCATGTTGCATTAAACGTTGTTTTATTGATGACTTACAATTTGCTATCCATCCCTGGTCACTACCGGTACATATTGGCAACGAAGATTCGACATGGCCCACCTTACTGCACCTCCGCCATTCCTTTCAACTCCAGGTAACCTTCCAATTCTTCCGAAACAGTGGAGAAGTCTGTTCGAGACAGTTATGTTTACGTTACGCGCACGATATCTGTACGTGTGGCGGATGATGTAATGGTACCCGCGTTTGACCTCAAGCCACAATAAATAAATAGTCGTGAATATTCTCTTTGTATGTGCGGGAAAGCTGACGGTATTCTCAGAACGAGTTTTCTTGTAAGATAAAGTAATGCTAAAAGGTATAATCTTAAGAACCTTACGTAATAGGAGAAATCTCTGGGAGAATTGAAGACTATAAAATCGGGAAAAAAACACGAACACACACCGCAAGAGAGATTTTGGAAGGCAATTCGACCATACGCAGGCTGTGAAATGTCTTCGACTTGCTGACTTCTGCACCATTTCAACCTATGGTGACGAGTCGTCTGTGGAGCGACACTTGTAAGAAAAGTTCATCCAGACAAGTGAAGTGCAGAGCTGTATTTTGTTCCGGAAGAGACAGTTTGTGAACTGAATCCAGTTCCAGTTTGTGGGATCATCAAGTTCCCGTATTTGCGACGGTCATCGCACCCTCGCCGTTTCGTCTCGAGCCCGTTACTCTTATTGGAAGTGGTCTTCGTCTCCGTGACAGCTTATTGTTGCACCGTCAAGGACTGAACTATTTTTCGCCCTCTGTGGAGACCAGCGTTTTTCACAGTTTTTCTTTGTTAGTATTTTCTAAGTGTAATACTTTCATTGAATCATACTGGTTTAATTGTTCCTTATATCAGTGTGATCTTGATTCCTTTGGTGCATCGGAGAAAATGCAAGCTTTGGAATTATTACTGTTGATAAATAGTTCGGAGTTTTTCGGATCGTAGCAAGACTTGTATTGTTGCATCTGGCGCGGATACGTACACCGATGAGCGCCGATGCGCCATTCTATTTCTTTGCTTAGGGCCAGAAGGGCAGCGCATATACATGTACGCAACATTTCCGCCTGCTCACACATTAGGTCGGATGGTACGAATACAAAGCCACCTGAGAGTGCTTCCAACCCCTTCTTACAGTGACACTTTGGTGCATTTTCAGCCTGCAGCGAACAAAGTCGCCGAACGTTATCGTTTTCTACTAAGGTTAAGACTATCACAGTTGACCACTTAGACTCTGGCTCGGAGGATGAAGTTCAAATCCTCACCATTGGTTCTCCCCGAAGCCCGTAATCTGACCTGTGACATTCTGCCAGGCCAAGATGCGCGCCTGTCATTAATCTTTGATACGAGTCTCCAGTTTTTTCTTGCCAGTGTCAGTCTTTGACAAGTATTTGTGAAGCACTGCAGCCTTCACCCATAAAACTATACCAGGCAAGATATGGGACGAAGGGGTACACCCTTACCTGTCCAATCCCAATACACACTCTAGACGATTATTACTTAACACATCCCC